ACATATCACCCTGTAGGAAATTTACTTGATAAACCGTGAGCTTCATATCTATAGCATGAATTGACAGAGGATGGGGCTACCAGACATCACAGACCAAAATAAAATCGTTCAAGAAACAAAAAAGTTATGTCGTTTTGAAAAAGGATGAACTTTTTGGTCGCGACAAATTGAGTGGTGCGCAGTTTACATTAATTTTTGTTTCCAAATATATATTACCATAATATGGTAATATTTAATTCGTTGAATGGGTACATAAAACTACCCAATATATTTGCTCTTCTGACATTTTGCAGATACAGATTTTTTTTAAATAATATTTGAATGATCATTTTTAGGCAAATGCACACTTTTTGTGTTTGAATAAAAAAAATAATAACATACGATCTTTTAGATTTTTACAATTGTAATGGTTCCGAAAAGAAACACCCTGTATAGATTTATTAGGAAACATGTTATTATAATTTTATTTTTCGAATGTTAAAATAGGATTAAGCTATAAAACTTTATTTGAAGGCAAAGAAATTTTACAGATTTAGGTAGAAAATTTGAAAACAAACAAGAGAGATACGCGCTAAGCTGAAGGAAGAGTACATCTGGCATGCAGATTGGGGGAGGAATTTCCACGAGAGGTAACCGAAGAAGGTTTTGGAAAAAGCAGAACTGAGGCAGAAGCAGTTTGAATTCGAGGCAGTACAGTTCGTTTTCTTTGGTAAAATTGTAAAAGTAAATTATTGTTCTAAAATCATTGTTAAAAGTGTTATTAGTGTATTCTACAAGGTTAGTTCTAATTATTTAATCTATTTAAATGTGTAGTAAAATTAACTAAACGTAATATTGTGCATTTTCAAATTGTTAAGCTTATTATTATATAATTATTGCTATTATGAGTATATTTACCCTTTTCTATTACGTTTAGCTGTATTTTACGTTATTTTTAATCCTTTTCTTTTAGCTATTACCACCCCTATTCTCGCTTTTATTATTATCACTATAATTTTAATGCTTTGCTATGTTCAATGCTTGTACCGCTCCAATGTAACCTTGTATTTTGTTTGTGCTTAACCCATCATTTTGTACCCTTTTTCTATAACGTGGTTAAGCATTGTTTTATGATCAGTCCAAAGTTATTAATGTATTGCGAAATTACTCGGTGCTTAACCAGGAGTGCTGACCGTTATTGTTCCAACTTTGAGTACTCCTTGTTTGTGTGCGTGGGCCTTTGTTGTATGGACTAATATTTTTCTCCCGTGAGGGGACAAGGTTGCCCTAGGTTCTCTAGGGTTGCTTCGCTTTTCCCCGACCCTTCAACTAAACTAGGCGGGTTGCCTCCCATATTGGGACCTCGTTACATTCTGGGCCTAGCCCGGCTAACTAACCCCAATATTCTTCAGTTTTATATCTTTGTTTAAATGCAGTATCGAGCCATATCGCAAATACATTAATTTGCGTAATTTTTAAAGTACAATGCCTGACCGCGTATTCCTTTGCTACTTCATAGCCGACCAGGGTTTTTTCTCAGGCTCTTTTTCCCTGGCCGAACCCTCCTAAGAGCCACCCCTTGCTTGTTTGTAAAAGTTAACGTAAATTAAATTGGGGTAAATTAAGCCACTGTATTTTATTTCTTATAAACCTATTTCTCCCACGTATCATTCTTAAAGCAATGCATCTAATAAAACAAGTAAGTAAACACAACGTAGAGGTCCAAATTTGGGTAAGACGATCACGAGCCAAAGCCACAAAATATTTAATTTATCAATTTTTCATAAAACTTGTTTTAATCGAACCTGGGGTAAAGAGAAATCTTTACATTTTTGGTGCGAGTGACCAGGATGCATTGCAAAAGAAAAAACTTTGTGGAGAACTAGGTTTATTGCAGTACCGGATTGTCTCTAGGGTTTATGTCTAGGGGCGAGAAATTTCCTAAGTCCGGCACTGTACTCTGTTTGTAAAATTCTAATCCATTTGATATTTTTTCGGTAAAACTTATGATGGAGGAAAACCTATGCAACAATTTAAGGAAAACTAACGAGGAAAACAAAACCAAAACCTTCAACAAAAGTTAAGGATACTCAAGAAGAAGGGCAAAAGTTGATTGTAAAACAAAAAACTCCTTATGGGCCTTTAAAAAATGGATCTGTACAGGGAAAATAAAATAAAACAATGCAGCATCGAAAACTTAAGGTTCAACTTGAAGGAAAACAGGAAATGGGTGACAAAATTTAAATATAAAAATGAGATAAAATAATATTTCTTTGAGCGATTAATCTTTTTATTTTTTTATTTAAAGAATAGGGGCGAAATATACCGAGTGTTGTTTAAAATGTGGCCCAAACTCGGTACCACACATATCCCAGCATTCGCCAAATTGGTGATAGGGATCGGTTTCGATGCCATTGTATCCTCCCACGTGGGCCCCCAAATTGGTAAACCAAGGAACCGTTGAGTGTGACTGATGCCTCTTAGCAGTCAGTTATTTGGAAGTAGTAGTGGTTTCTCGCATGAAGCCAGCTGCGTGGCCTTGTTGTCTGTTGTCCCGCAACTTGGTACTGTAGTTAAAACTTCTTTTGAAGCTAGCTGCAAAACATCGCAGGGGCGCAGCTGAATCACTGATAGTGGCAGCTGAATAAAGTAGTAAGGGCACAGCTGAATCACTTATAGTGGCAGCTAAGTATAGTACTATGGGCGCAGCTGAATGACTCATGGTGGCAGCTGAATAAAGTAGTAGGGGCACAGCTGAATCACTTATAGTGGCAGCTGAGTAAAGTACTGAGGCGCAGCTGGATCTCCTTTGAAGACAGTTGTGTGGTAAATCGTCGATTTGTGGGTTTTAAAACGACTAGTTAAACATCTTTTGGTGTAACTTAAAGAAGGGGTTTAGGTTAAAACCTAGTCTTATTATTTTTTAGGCTTCTTTTTAGTTTTTTGCTAAATTTATTTTTAACTTTGGTGATGATGTTTAGGATAATGATGAAGCGGGTGAAAGGACGATACAACATATCCAATCTTAAGACCTACTACCTCCAAAAGGCGAATAACGAGGAATCCCAAAGGGTGACCCGGGTTGTAACCTTACCACGCTAATCATATAGTTTTCTTTCAGCAATTAATTTGTTTATTTTGTTTTAGTTTAGAGAATAGGGGCGGGACTAAAATACCAGAGATGTTAAAAGTTCAGCAAGCCTCCCGAGGTCATTTGCTAAGCTTTTAAAGGGGCGTCTGTAATGGTTCCGAAAAGAAACACCCTGTATAGATTTATTAGGAAACATGTTATTATAATTTTATTTTTCGAATGTTAAAATAGGATTAAGCTATAAAACTTTATTTGAAGGCAAAGAAATTTTACAGATTTAGGTAGAAAATTTGAAAACAAACAAGAGAGATACGCGCTAAGCTGAAGGAAGAGTACATCTGGCATGCAGATTGGGGGAGGAATTTCCACGAGAGGTAACCGAAGAAGGTTTTGGAAAAAGCAGAACTGAGGCAGAAGCAGTTTGAATTCGAGGCAGTACAGTTCGTTTTCTTTGGTAAAATTGTAAAAGTAAATTATTGTTCTAAAATCATTGTTAAAAGTGTTATTAGTGTATTCTACAAGGTTAGTTCTAATTATTTAATCTATTTAAATGTGTAGTAAAATTAACTAAACGTAATATTGTGCATTTTCAAATTGTTAAGCTTATTATTATATAATTATTGCTATTATGAGTATATTTACCCTTTTCTATTACGTTTAGCTGTATTTTACGTTATTTTTAATCCTTTTCTTTTAGCTATTACCACCCCTATTCTCGCTTTTATTATTATCACTATAATTTTAATGCTTTGCTATGTTCAATGCTTGTACCGCTCCAATGTAACCTTGTATTTTGTTTGTGCTTAACCCATCATTTTGTACCCTTTTTCTATAACGTGGTTAAGCATTGTTTTATGATCAGTCCAAAGTTATTAATGTATTGCGAAATTACTCGGTGCTTAACCAGGAGTGCTGACCGTTATTGTTCCAACTTTGAGTACTCCTTGTTTGTGTGCGTGGGCCTTTGTTGTATGGACTAATATTTTTCTCCCGTGAGGGGACAAGGTTGCCCTAGGTTCTCTAGGGTTGCTTCGCTTTTCCCCGACCCTTCAACTAAACTAGGCGGGTTGCCTCCCATATTGGGACCTCGTTACATTCTGGGCCTAGCCCGGCTAACTAACCCCAATATTCTTCAGTTTTATATCTTTGTTTAAATGCAGTATCGAGCCATATCGCAAATACATTAATTTGCGTAATTTTTAAAGTACAATGCCTGACCGCGTATTCCTTTGCTACTTCATAGCCGACCAGGGTTTTTTCTCAGGCTCTTTTTCCCTGGCCGAACCCTCCTAAGAGCCACCCCTTGCTTGTTTGTAAAAGTTAACGTAAATTAAATTGGGGTAAATTAAGCCACTGTATTTTATTTCTTATAAACCTATTTCTCCCACGTATCATTCTTAAAGCAATGCATCTAATAAAACAAGTAAGTAAACACAACGTAGAGGTCCAAATTTGGGTAAGACGATCACGAGCCAAAGCCACAAAATATTTAATTTATCAATTTTTCATAAAACTTGTTTTAATCGAACCTGGGGTAAAGAGAAATCTTTACAATATATTACCATAATATGGTAATATTTAATTCGTTGAATGGGTACATAAAACTACCCAATATATTTGCTCTTCTGACATTTTGCAGATACAGATTTTTTTTAAATAATATTTGAATGATCATTTTTAGGCAAATGCACACTTTTTGTGTTTGAATAAAAAAAATAATAACATACGATCTTTTAGATTTTTACAATTGATTTAATGATCCACTTAACAATATTTGTAATAAAATAAAATTGGATTAACTATTTGTCATACACATGCTTCATCTTATTAGGCTTCATTAACAAATTATGTTCCTATTTTGGTGTAACCTAGTTATTATCTAATACAAATCAATCAAAAATCAATTTTAGCACGAAATAGCTTTACTTACTATAAATTATAAGCTGTTTCGTCATATAGGCTTCGTTGTCGTCGCTGCTGACTTTACACGTATAATTTCCCGTCATGCTGGTGTCAACGTTGCTAATTTTAAGTGCACGATACATCGTGGATTTGTCGCTGGTAACGTTGAAATGAGTGTCGATGTTGCTATCCGATTTTTTTGTTTTTGGTTGGTAAGGTGGTATCCATTGGTAAATCACGTCGGAAGGGGAGTTGAAAAACCATTTTAACACTAGATTGGGTTCCTGCTTGGCGTCGTATACGCAATCTAGCACCACCACGTCAGTTGTGCCGTTTTGTATGGATTCTGGTCCCCTGATTTCTTCTATGACTAATTTACTGAAAGCTAAAACATTAAAAATAAAATTTAATTAAAACATATTTAAAAGTAATTGTGCATTCCAAAAGTAATTTTAAAACAAAAGGATTTAATACAAAATGGTTTAGTTATTTGAAGGAGTAAAATGAAAAATCCAAATATAATACACAAACGAATTTATATTTTGATAAGAATCTTGTTTTAGATGACAAGCAGAAAATTCATTATTTAATTATTTTTATGTGCGTTGTCTCCTGTTACAACAACAAAAATAAAAGTTTATTTTTTAATTTGGTTTAAAAGAAAAAGATGCTTTGTAATATTTTTTTAAAACAAAAGGTGAAAATAAAAATATTCTCTTCTATAACGCATAATACTAGAGTAATTGTATAATTGCATTCAAAATATTATTATATCAAGCGATAGGGGAGACAATAATTATTATTTTTTCTCAAAAGTAACAAGTTTTCGATTTAAAAAATTTTACTTCTATGAAAGAATTTTTAATAATCTTCTGAAAAAGTAAAACATTTTTCAATAAAGAGAAAGTTTTGATAATTGAGTTGGGACATTTGGAATCTACGTATAGGATTTTGTCACTATTTTTTTTACTACCTTTCTCAAACAATTTATGAAAACGATAAAGCGTTTTTAAAAATGCAGAATTCAAAACGCTTATAATATATTCGAAACGTTTTGAATACTGCGCGTGACGTCACGATGTTTTAACAAATATGTCAAGAATTACGAATTAATCCAACATGTGTCTTATAGGACCATGATTTCTGGTTTATGTTCCATATTCTTTAAAGAACTTAAAATGTTTAAAGCAGTTGTTTATGTTTAGATTTTTTGATTTGAAACATAAATACTTCATTTGTAAATCTTGCCCATTATATCTAGGTACCAATTTACCATTAAAATTTTATATTATAACATCGTGACTTTCATTTATAAGGAAAAATCGGGAAAAATTGATGGTAAAATCGTGTTTTCAACTTTAGTAACTAATCATTGGAAGTTTTTTAAAACAAACTGTCAGAAAATTCCTCCAACAACCTCGACTAAAATAAGGTTTAAATAATTTTTAATTATTTTGGATGCCTAGTATTTTCACAGTCTGTGAGTATTTCAGCTTATCAGGTATACCTGTGTATACACAATCCTGACAAGTTTTTAAATTTAAAAGCTTAATAACTAAAACAACTAGGTATATTTTATTGTTTCGACATTTACTTAATGAAACTCACTAATGTATAACTAGATTAAAAACAAATACTGTTTTTTGAGTTCCAAGAATTTATTTTAATTTGATTTGAAAATTGTTTCGCAATTTGACAGTAGCTTCTTCAGAAATGAATTTGAATTTGAAATTTTTCTACTCCTATTGCATAATATTGATATTATTTAGGTTTTCCTTTAAATAATGGTAACCATTATAACCAATCAACATAAATAATGAACTCATTATTATAATTATCTAAAAATGATATAAAATAAATATTTGTATAGAGCGACATTCAAATGGCACGCCAGGTATAATGTCAAATCTGTATACAGATTTGACATTATACACATATATGTGTAAATCAAAATTTATCACTTGAAAATGGACTAACAAAGTGAAAGTGAAGAGAATATTTTATGAGCACATCACCCGAAATTTTTAATGCTTTCAGTTAAATCTAGTTTACTGCTGGCAAAATCACATAAAGGGCATTTTATTTTAACGATTGTATGACCTGTGCCTGTGACTATAACGCCATAAAGCTACAACTTGTCAATGTGTATTTAAAAGGTCACTGGAAACATGTACAATAATGGGCATTTTAAAGGTGAGAGTGGAAAAACTGAATTATGTTAAACAAATTTGCTTCATATGAGGCCTCTAAAAGTCAAGTAAAAAATAGAGCTTGTAAAGCTTAAAAAACCAATCATTTAATAAAAAAACAATTTTAACTCAAAACCAAACAAAATGTACTTGGCTTGTAGGGGCCCTATACAATTTTACATCAAATAACTTCAATAAAAGGTGTAAACTTAACTTTAAAAGTTTTCTAGAATATATTGGTATTAAATTTTGTTATGACGCCAACCTAATTATTATTAGTTACACAAACAATAAATTTGACGTCATAATTAAAAAATTAAAAATAATTTACTACATGCATAAATATAGAATGAAAAATGTACCTTCATTTAGTATTAAAATACTTAAAACATAAACACATGCTGTTATTTTTAAAATAAATATTGTTGGGATACGAAGAACTAACACTTTGACTCGTAAGATCGTTTATTGTAAATAAGTTTTACATAATAATTAAATAATAAATATTCGAGAAGTTAAATCTTAAGTTAAGTGAGTGAAAAGTAAATAGTAAGTGTTCTTTTGGTTTCTAAAAATGAGCTTTTATACAGCGCGATAATTTTTATCAGTTAATGGAAAAATAGAAGCGCTGTCTTTGAAATTATGAAATATCTAATGATGCGTAATAATTACTTGAACTATTTGAACTTTTTATTAATTTAATTTATGGACTTATTTTTTGTAACCCTAAAGATCACGACTAAAAGATTATTTAATATACATTAGAAAAACAAACTGTTACCAAATAAATATACAGGGTCTAACAAACCTCCCCCGTTAAGTGTTTCGATAAGGGTTAAAAATCCTATTGAAACACTAAATGGTAAAATTAAATTATACAATCTAAAACTTATAAAACACTAAGTAAACTACAAAGATACAATTAAATTTAAAGTGTACAATATATAAAATAAAAAATTAAAATAAAATAAAATAGTGGTTATATATCTAAACAAAACTATAATTATGAAATTAGTGTACAATATATAAAATAAAAAATTAAAATAAAATGAAATAGTGGTTATATATCTAAACAAAACTATAATTATGAAATTAAATTTTAAAAGATTTCTTCGAAAGACGAGGCCTACGCAGTGAGACTACGATAGCTTCTTCTGTGAGGTGGAAAATCATCCAAGTTGACTCGGTTATCAGATACAGTATTGTGGCTGTTGATACAAACCAGGTGACGGCATTGGTCGGGGTTGAAATATTTCTTTATTGAGTTTAGAAATCTGCAGCGACAACATCGGCAACAAACATAGTAGCATATTATTAGCATTACTAATGTTCCAATTATTCCAAAGAAGATGTTGTACCATTTGGAATGGTTGATAATGAATGGTTGGTTTATATTTTTCTGTAGGACGTCGTCGAACTGTTGGAGTTTATGTTGTGCATGACTCAGTTCATTGAGGTTGAGGCTATGGAGTTTGATTGAAGACATTTCTTCATTTTTGAGGTAGGATTTCTCCTTGATGCAGCAATCGTCTTTATTGATGTCCAGTAAAGGTATAAAGTTTGTATAATTTGACGTTTGGTTGGAAGTTGAAGTCAATAACGTGGATGTAGTGTAGCATTTACATTTCGGTTGTAGTGTAAAAATACCGGAGCCTTGAAGTACAACGTCTGTGATTTGTGAAGCACCATAATTTTCGCAGCTTATGGTCCCAGTGACTGGTTGTGTTAAGATGTATAGCCATTGATTTGTTGAGAGGGGATGCCAAACTTCGATTTCTGACTTCATGGTTTTGGTGTCGCAGTTTAATGGGATTTTTTCAGGTTTTTGAAGTTTCAGAATCGTTTCGCAGGTAGGTCTTTCCTTGATAAGATGTATGATGATGTTGGAACAAATGTACTCGGATGGTGATATCTTCTGGCATTTCGATAATTCTGACATCTCTCCATAATACGTTCTTGTCGTACTTAGGATAAGGTAAGGGAAAGAAGGGTTTATATAGGAGTATATTGAAGAGTTTTGATATTGGACAGGTAAGGGAATCAAATTATATAGTTGATACAAATCTTTAGTTACTAGTGGTATCTTAATTGCATAAATTAAAACTTTATTTGTGTAAACTACTGAGAGTGAACATATTTGCGTGTATTTAAAAATGTTTGCATTATCATCTAGTTCTATTGGAAAATCTAAATCTGTCCTTTTATTATTAATTTTCAATAATTCATCGCGTAAAGATTTTGGAGTAATTATTGAAGGGTGTAAAATATTTTGTTTGGAAAATAATATTGAAGAAATAATAACATCGAATTCTTCGTCTAATTCTTCGGTAATTTGAGATAATAAATTTAAATGATCCATTACTGTTTGAACGTAGGTTAATGAATTTATTCTAATAATGCTTGAGTTTGAAAATTTATTAAATATTTTTATATTTTTGTTTAACTTTTCTTCATTAAATTTAAGTGTCAATGCTGACCTATTATAACCAGAGATCGCTTCAGAGATTATATGAACTTGTTGCTTTAAAAGTTTTTGCATGTCTTGATTTTGATTAACTACTGCATGAATTGCGTCATTATAATATTCTGCGTCATCTGCATCGGGGATTCCAAATAACCATTTAAATGTATAAGATACACCGTTAATTAATCCTCTTTTTACTCTAAGTGACATTTTATCAGGTTCATGACCTGTTAGGTGGTTTATGGCTTCGAGTTTTTTATTTAATTTTTCAAGTCGAATTTCTATTAATTCTAGAGATTCTTTGCATAAAAATTCGGAATGTCTGAATGTTACATTTTTATCGTTAGGGTGCATGCATAAGGGTTTTGAGATATAAAACGATTTTTCGGCAAATTTTAATTTCATTTCATAAATGCTTATATTATTGAATGATAAGAGTGTAAAATAGTCTTGGGTTAGTTTTACTTGACCTAAGTCTTGATAAAATATTCCTGATTTAAAATCTAATTTTTGGTTTTTATAGGGGATATTACCGGATATAGGCGGGAGTGTAAATATGTTAATTAGTGTCAGAACGAGAAGGGTTTTCATCTTCTGGAACAAAAGGTTTTAATAAATTATGATGAACGACTGATGTTTTCTTGTGACTAATTTGTATTTTAACCGTTTGATTAGGATGAATGTTTATGATTTTATAGGGACCTTTATAATTTGGCTGTAATTTTCTGCTAA